CTCTCTGCTGTGCAGCCCCTGCACCATACCTGGCTACATGCTTTCAACATGGGGAGGGAGCTTTGCCAGGCTAATCCCTCGGCAGCTTAGTGAATAACCCCCCAAATGATTGGTGTTTTCAGTGAAGGGTACTGTGTGGCAGCAGTGGTCTCTCTGCAAAGGTCCGACATGGCCCTCGTTGAATCAGACCTATAGTTTTCTATTTAGGAGAGAGTATGAGCTTTGCTGATTGGCGAGCTCTAACTCTGATGTAGCAGGAGGGGGTGCCAGGTCTCTGCATAGAGACCACGGCTTCCACACAGAGAGCAACGGTCCTTTTCTGCAGCTTGCTGGCAGGGGACAGGCTATCTACTTAGGCCGTGACTGATTATTTTATAAAGAAATTAAACTGTAATACTGAAAATAATAAAAATGGGCTTTAAACAAAAAAGTTGTCTCTGGCTTCCCTGGCCGTCCCTGTAGTTTTCTGTTTGCACAGCAGAGAGCAGCACAGGCCGGGCTCCGAGACCGAAACTCCAGCAGAGATTTGTAGACATAGATGTTCTCTTCACCCCTCTGATCTCCTCCTCTTCTCCACTCCCCACGATCAATCCCATGTTCGCTGCTGAAACTTTCACTTCTAAGGAATTAACCCGCACAGACCAAGAGAACAGAGAATGTAAGTATTAACGATGCAAGGATTAAATCTTTCATATTACCCAGCTAGGACGGGTGGGATGCAAGGACGGGTGTATATCAGATTATATTTTCTGTTGAGATGCTCTACTAGTGTAGCTTCCAGCAGTTCCAGAATTTGGGAATTTGTCTCCAAAATGATTGGTGCAGAAATATCCCTGATTTTGAACATTGAACACTGTCACTATTAGTCCCTGTTTTTTGAATGTTACACTTGACTGTCTGATACTGTATTGTATTTTGAAGCTTGAAAACATTTATTAAGGGCTATTTACAGTGCAGAACAGAAAGTATTATATGATCCGGTTTAATAAATGAGCTGTAACATAGCTACGGGCAAAACTACAGCCATAGCAGATCACGTAACTGCTATGGGGCCCAGTGGCACAGGGGACCCGGTAGTGCCAGACTGCATAAAAATATATAATTGTATCAATAGTATTTGTCTAATAACTGTAGACATGAAATACATCGTTTATATGCCTATAAGATGCTTATAGTATCAGCGGGGGGTTATAACTTTAGTCAGTACATTAGTCTCAATGAGATCTACTTTAAATGGAACCTGCCAAGATAGAGGTATAAGGGGGCTGCCATTGCTAACTTTTTGTCATAAATGCATGTTCCACAGCTTTTACCTCCTGACCTGTAATAAATGTGCAGCAGCCTAGGCACTAGGGTTGCCACCTGTCTGGGATTCATCCGGACAGTCCGGGTTTTGAATGCTGTGTCTGGGTTTCATGGCAGCTTAAACCCGGACATAAGATGTCAGGCAGACAGGGGCAACCAAAATTAAGATAGGGGCTACTGGCCCCCACTGCAAATGGGTGGCTCTATTTACATATGAATAGGCCGCGACTCATTCTCCCACAAAAAATTTGTGTGTTGCTAGAGTGTTCGGGTTTCGCTGGAAGAAAAGGTGACAACCCTACTAGGCACCTGACCAAAATGCTATTTCTGGGTCAATGTCTCATCCTTCAGTGAAGGAAAGATTAATATAGCAGCCCCAGAGTTTGCAACTTCCAAAGCAAGTCAGCAACTTCAACCTCGAGAATTCTGTGATGTCGGTTCCTTTAAAGGGCCTATTTATATATTCTATCTTTTTCACCCATTAAATTGTCTCTTATTCACATAGACATATTTTGCAGCATTTCTAAGCTACTGCCATTGCCTAGAATGGCCCCTACTGGGCAGATGTCCCTTTACTTCCTGCCCAAGTGACAGAGAGTCAGAGGAACGTAACTATAGATCTCTCCAATGTGGACAGGAGTGCTGTCTATGTCTTCCTGTCCCAATGATATCTGCCCACTCGCATTAAAAGTGAAAGGGATCTTCCTAGTTGAGGACATCCTGAAGGAGATCAAGTTCTACCCATGTTTCACATGCCTTAGGCGATGCTTGCATTACATTTTGGCCCTGCTTTGTTGCCCAGGTTCTTTTTGGTGCTTCTGCTTCTTGGAGGTGTCGCCAGCTCTCCAGCCAAGAAATCTAGATATGGGCTGATCGCGTCCCCAAATTTCCCTAAAACATATCCGAACAACAATCACAGCATCTGGAACATCGCCGTCCCCGAAGGATACCACATTTCCCTGCAGTTCCTGGTGTTTGACATTGAACCATCGGATGGATGCACCTATGACTATGTTAAGGTATCAGAGCCACGTATACATATACAGACATGTATTTTCATTATTCCAGCCATTTATTTATTTGGGGCGTTTATGCAGAATTAATGTGTTAATGTCTTAGGCTGGGTTCACACCTAGGCGTATCGAATATGTGTGTTTGTCGCGTGTGTTTCGTGCCGCATGTTTTTACCGCGATTCGTGGTAAAAAAACACGCGACAAACGCGTGTTTCCGAGGGCTACCTGGCTGTATCCCAATGGATACACTCTGCAAATACGCCCCAAAGAAGCTCATGTACTTCTTTGGGCGTAGGGCGTTTTGTAGCGCGTTCATACGGCCTGTAATACGCCCAGGTGTGAACCATACCCATAGGAAATAATGGGATTTCGGTGTTTGAGCTTTTTGCAGAGCGTAGGAATGCGCTACAAAACGATCAGGTGTGAACCGGGCCTAAAATGGAATACAATAGAACATAATATAATTTACAGTGTTCCATGGCCAGGAAGAAGCTTAACATCCCATCTACAGTCATATAGATGCCCATTTGAGGACAGTTCAGGTAGACCCCCAAATACACTACCAGTATGTTTTTAGGTTATAGGCAGAAACCAGTGTTTTTGGGGTAACCCCAACCAAACACGGGGAGAATATGCCAACTCACACACAGGACCCAAATACTGCTAGACAAGAGTGCTCAAGTTATCATTGCTGCCCCAGTTATTTTACTTCTTATAGAAGTTTGTGGATTATTACTCACTGAGTCAACATCTCTGCTGAACAACTAATGAGATAACAGGATGAACTACAGAGACTGTATTGGTTCAGTCAGTCTGTGTGACATCATAGGACTGCTCACCATTGCAAGTCCACATGTCTACCTCATTATTTCTGTTGCTGTCAGGTAGCCTGACTAAGTAAGCTTTAAGCTACAGCTTGCTAAGAATTAAACCCAAACATTAACCACTGGCTCCGATTTCTCCTGCACAATAAACCTAAACCCTGATGAAGGGGTATGTGTGCATAGACCTCGAAATGTGAAATAAATATTATATCTGGATTCATTCTTATGGCTTGGCACTCATACTTTCACTTCACATACACTAAAGCCCGTGACACACTACACGTAAAGCCGTGCAGAGCAAAGCAAAGCTGTCCGGCACAGAGCTTTGCGTGCAGTGTGTGAGCTGAGTGCAGGCAGATGATTGACTGCACCTTCAGCCAATCGGCTCGTGCGTAACAACCAGCCAGACGTCACATCCTGACGCGGTTTATACACGCTAGCCGATTGGCTGAAGATAAAAAATGTTATCTCGGCACGCTCAGCTATGCTAGCTCTCGCAAGCTGATGTGCTGGGGAGAAAATTACATGACCCGCTGCTCGCGAAGGCAGTGCGCCCCTGCCTCACGTGCATTGTGTCACAGCCTTAACTCTTCTAGGGAACCTGTAGGAGTCCCATTGGTCATTAGAGATAGACGCCGTCCCTAAAAAGAGGCAGCCTGAGCAATTCTTTGGGTCACGTGGGGGGACAGCAGTTTTGCATTGTGCCTGCCACACCCATTCCGGCCAGAGCGTCCCAGGTTGCTAAAAACTGGGCGGTGAGATGTGTAAGGGCCAAACACACCTCCCCACCCAGTTCCTAGCAACCTGGGACGTTCTGGCCGGTGTTCCACCCAGCTCCTGGCACAACACTAGTGAGCTGGGCGAATGCTGGCCAGAGCTGGGCAGTGAGAAGATGCAGAGGCCACTCATCTCACCCCCTCCACCCACCACCAACAAACAACCTTCCCCCATCCTCGATAGGGACTACCCTGATTAAAGAGCTGCCACACCCTAGTAGTCATCTAAATAATTTGGGACCTACACCAAGCTTGAAATCCAGCGTTCCACCACCCCAACTCCAGAACAAGTTTACCTCATGACCGGTTTAATTTAAGTAACTGAGAAAATATAGAAATTACTTTTCTTGAAATTATTTCTTTTATGTACCGGTAATCAGCTTAATATTTCACGCTCTCTACTTTTATCCCAATCCTTTTTCGGCAGCTTTGGGCAGATAACAAGGAACTGGGGAGGTTCTGTGGTTCCCCGAAGTCTAAATCTCATCCTGGTCATCGAATGTTTATCTCTGAAAGCAACAAAATGAGAATTGAATTCCAGTCTGACTTTTCCAATGAGGAGAACGGCTCCACCATCCTTTACCCAGGATTTCAAGCCTACTATAAAGCAGAGGGTAGGTAATAAGTTCCTATCTAGTTTGCCTGGCTCTGGCCCTTACAACTTATTATCTGACTTTGGCCCTTACAACTTATTGGCTTTGCAGATCAAAATTAAAGTTAGAGAAGTAGTTGATCAGAGTAGTTATTGTGACGGACTCCCTGATACGCCGACTGGATATCTCCGTCTTAAAGCTGTTCCTTGGGTGCTGGAACCAGAATCAAGGGAATATAGCATGGGCTTACCCCAAGAATCAGACAACACTGACTTTGGAGTGGAAACATGAACTGGTTTATTGAAGAAAGCACACAGAGTTTATACCTCACAGAATCAGATAAGAGTTTAGTGTGTTACATTGACCAATCCCCTCCCCCAGACAGCCAGGTGCCACATTGGTATTCCTTAAGCACAGACACTCTTTGAACCTAATGAATGCCCTTAATCAGATCATCCCAAACAATGACCACTTCAGACAGCCTGTTGCCTTCACAAAATATCTTTAGCAGAGATATCCAAACAAGATGGAAGTCCGGATGGTTCAAATCAAGTCAAATAGTGAAAAGCTCTCTCTAGATAAAATATTAAATAGGAAAACACACACAGCAAACACAGTTCTCCGGGGTAATAAATCTCTGCAGCCCTAGGTCCGTAGTCAGTAGGAAGGAGGCTAGCCCTCAGGCTCCTCCGACAGCCCCAGTGACGGTTCAGTCCGTCACAGTTATGTCGTTGCCATACCATCTTTTCAGGTTCGTATTCAGACATTGCGCTGCTATAGGCACACCAGGATGATGAGGTCCCTTTTGAGAAGCTCCATCCCTTGTGTCATGTGATTATTAAAAGTAAAAATCAATGCTTAACTGTGCTACTGGAAGCGCCTGGGGTCTGCGCTATATGCAGAGCTGTATTCCAAACAATACCGAGGAAAAATGGTTTCATGTTGTTGAGCTATAAAGAGTCTTCTGACTTCACTCTACATCTTTGAACCCGTTTGCGTTCTATTGTGCCATTTAGCCAGAAATGATCAGAGTTGGCCAGAAGAAGGAATCAACATAAGCAAATGTAGCGCCCATCACCTTTGGTGAAGTGCTTACTATCTATTTAGTGATAACCAGGGCTGTAGGCAGCCTGGTTGAAATTTGTAGCAGCCAGCACATGGTTAATCCCAGGTGTCCAACCTTGTCTGTACCCTCTAGGGCGGAGTGAGACTCTGTCACATTATGGGACAGCCTATGGGTGACACTGTGATATGTGTATAGGGCAGCAGCCAGTTACTGGGCTTCTTGTAGCCAGTGATGTCTGCTGACAAAGGATATATATATTGGTGGGAGGTCATGTGCTCGCTCTTTTTGTCTGGACCAGCCATGGACTGAGGTTGGGTCCTGTTCAGCCTGCCCCTAGGCTAGGCCGAGGCCTGGGGGTGGGAGTTGGCTGAGCTGCTGAAGGAGAAGCCTCCTTGAGAGTTTGCAGTCAGAAGAATGCCTGTAAGAATGGAAGAATCAGGACCCGTGTGGGCTTTTGAAGTGCCTGATATTCAGAGGGACTTCTGAGTGGGGTCAGTGTTCTTCCAAGGATTGAGGAGATGTACTTCACGAAGATAAGATTTGGTGAGTCTGGAGCTATGGAGGCCGGTGCACCTAGACCCTATACCCTCTCTCCCTAATTAGAAGTAAATAAACTGTTTAACCAGCATCTCACAACTGGAGCGGACTTCAATTTATGGGCACAAGAAGAGGGCGGTTAAAGCTAATGGGGCAGTTGGTGATCTATCCCTAGACTGACTAGATATGGACCTGTTCATCCAGCGGCTCCTTCGGGGGTGAGCGCTACACAAAGTTAAAACAATTTTTTCATTTCAAAGCTCTGCGCTACCTCCTCTAGACCTCCTGCCCCAGACACTGGCCCACAGTTGCCATTATGATCAATATAGCTTGATGTCTATCAACAACAACTGATCATTAACTTGACCATAGATATGGAGGTGAAGAAATCAGAACAGACAGCTCACCCTCCATGTGAGCAACTGATCATAAAGTTACCAACAAAAAAACAAAGTCTCTGGTATACAAGCACACCACTTAAAAGGAAAGCTGTGTAACCATTTATTCAGCATTTAAAGGGCAATCCTATTCCACTGCGGTGTATTTTCTTATCCTTGATGTGTACTATTTTTTAGAATTTGCTCCACTGTTATAACTTTTCATCTCGGACCCTGTGTTGTCACCCTCTAGACAATGATGAGTGCGCTCTTCCCAATGATATCAGTGCTTCATGGATCCCGCCATGTCAACATATCTGCCACAACTATATAGGAGGCTACTTCTGCTCATGTCTGCCGGGGTACAAACTGCAGAGTGACAAGAGAACTTGCAAAGGTACGTCTTATATCAGTGATGTACAGTTATGTTTAGGCAAGATTCCAAGTGTCAGTGTGCCATTGTTCTGGAACCCCAAGTGTCAGTGTGCCATTGTTCTGGAACCCCAAGTGTCAGTGAGCCATTGTTCTGGAAACCCAAGTGTCATTGAGCCATTGTTCTGCGACCCCAAGTGTCAGTATGTCATTGTTCTGGAACCCCAACTGTCAGTGTGTCATTGTTCTGGGACCCCAAGTGTCCGTAAGCCATTATTCTGGAACCCCAGGTGTTAGTGAGCCATTGTTCTGGAACCTCAAGTGTCAGTGTTTCATTTTTCTGGGACCCCAAGTGTCAGTGTGTCATTGTTCTGGGACCCCAAGTGTCCGTAAGCCATTATTCTGGAACCCCAGGTGTTAGTGAACCATTGTTCTGGAACCTCAAGTGTCAGTGTTTCATTGTTCTGGGACCCCAAGTGTCAGTGTGTCATTGTTCTGGGACCCTAAGTGTCAGTGTGTCATTGTTCTGGGACCCCAAGTGTCAGTGAACCATTGTTCTGGAACCCCAATGTCAGTCACCCATTGTTCTGGAACCCCAAGTGTCAGTGTGTCATTATTGTGGGACCCCAAGTGTCAGTGAGTCATTGTTCTGGGACCCCAAGTGTCAGCGAGTCATTGTTCTGGGACCCCAAGTGTCAGCGAGTCATTGTTCTGGGCCCCAAATGACCTCAATTATCTGTATGATATTGTATCCCAAAAAATTATGATTCTCAATAGAATATCTATATCCAACAATAAACAGACGTCTCACCCACAGCCTGTCTGACTAAATTCTAGAATAAACCAACATGTCACTGTGAGGACATGTGACAGAAATATTTGATAAAGATAATAGATGCACATCTCTGTGGCTCCTCTTTCAGTGGATTGTAGCAGTCAGCTGTTCATGGAGGAATTTGGGTATATCTCCAGCCCGGGATACCCCAAGCCATACCCTGCAGACCTCAACTGCAACTACAGCATCCGAGTAGAAGAAGGGTTCCACATCTCCCTCACCTTCATAGAAACTTTTGACATAGACTATCATCCGCGGGCTCCATGTCCTTACGACACATTGAAGGTAAAGCTATTATTATTTCCATCTTTGTATTCCAGTATTACAGACTAGGGATGCCCCAATACCACTTTTTCAGCCCCACGTACAAGTACTTCCCCTCATGCATTGGCCGATACCAATTACCGATACTTTTTCTTAAAGGGACAGGTGACTTTAAATGACCAATAGTACAACTACATGTTATGTACTATGGATCATGATTTAACCTATTCATGTTAGCAGTGGAGAATTGTTAATCTATTGCTGTAGTGTAGTGGAGCTGTGTGCTGTATACATGTACTACATATACATTACACATGTCCAGTACACTATAGCAATAGATTTACAGCCAGCCCCGTCCCAGCTTCCCTCACTCACAGTTTCACTCCGATCCCTGTTGCCTCACGAGGTGCCTCTTGTAGTCGGCGCTGGGCAGGATCGCTGCATCGCGTCTCGGTGCTCAGCTTGTGGAAGGCGCTCACAATTCTGCCCTGCTAACATGAATGGGTTAAATCATGATCCATAGTACATAATAGTACATAACATGTAGTTGTACTATGGATCATTTAACC